AAAGTTTTATTTAAATATTTTAGCATTTTAAAAAAGTAAATTAGAGCTAAAAAAGTGCAAAAACGCAGGCAAATTTGCCTGCGTTGGTCTACATATTAAGAGATAACTAGATAGTATGACCGAGATTACAGATTTCTAGATCCAACTGATAATCGACAACCGTAAACCGTAACACAAACTATTTTTCAAAATTCGTCATCTGTGGAATTTGAACTCTAGACCTACTACTTGAAAAGGGTGACGACTAGACCACTACACTAAGTCGCCACACCTCTCTATATATAATATATATATATATTAAATATAATATATATACACTATCTATATTATTAGGAAAAGATCAACTCTCACCAACGATCACTTGGCACAAAAATAGCAGAAAACTAAAAGCACACATCATGCTAAAACTAGATGACAAATACAACAATAGACCTAACAGGACATAGAATAAAGGTCAGAAATATCAAGTCAAGCTTTATTAGAGTAGTAGTAGCAGGTTAAACAAGCAGAAAAGATAGCAGTCTCTGTTAAAAGAAAATATATGGTGACAAAACTTGGGCGAACTAGAGATCAACTCAACAAAGGCAACAGAACTCTCTGGTAGTGAAAAAGAAAACCCAACTAAGCTCCAAGACTTTTTAGCTCTGTAATTAATAAAGCAAATCAATCAAATATCTTAGTATTTAGCCAAACTTTTTCTTAGTTTTGCATAAATGGAAAATAGCATTATCTCTGTAGCACAGATTTTCAGAGTGATACAAATACTTTACATGGAGCTATACAAAGATTACACGTAAAAACAGATAAAAAACACGTAAAATCACATGCAACACATACTAAAGATAAAATTTAGAATTTACTAATAAACACCAAAAGCAATGTCTTATAACTCAAATCATGAGTACCGAGCAACTAGAGAACTCAGAGATAGACTGGAAACACAAAATCAACAAATATAGAAATATCTTTAGAAAACCAACCGAAGATTTTAATATGCTTAAAGAGGAGCATAAGAAGAAATATCTCAGAAAAGATAGTAAAATAGTGGCATTTGTAGGAGCTGAACCTCAACTTATATGCATGTTTAGATACTTAATCGAAACCTATGATTGGTTAGAATATTTGAAAATTAAAAAAGAGGAGAACTCTCGATTAATAGACCCAATAAACTTAAACAGAATCGAGAAAAGCAAAGAGATATTAATCGAACAAGAATGCGATATAGCAGACTATAGTATCGAAGAGAAATTAAAGCTACATTAGTCTAAAACTGAAACTTTGACGAGAAAGAGGAGTACAAGCCCAGCAGTGAAGAAAAGAGACGCCAAAAAAACTTGTAAAAAGAAAGAAGAGGACTCAACTAAAACTGTATTTATTCCAATTGTATAAGATACAATACCTATAGCCATTGAAGGGATAAATATAAAAGCCCAAAATGAAAATGGGAGAGATAATACCAAAGATACTATAAGGAGAACAGAAAGAAACACCAAATCTCCAAAAATATAGTATACTTTATGGGACATACCAACAGAAGTTAAAGCAATAAGAGTGCAAAGGTGTCTGCACTTCTATAGTTGAGTGCAATTCAGGCATTGAAAATCTCTAGGAGCAAAGAAAGCTGTCTCATTTAGCATAATCTTTTGGAACGAGAGAAGAAAAGCTCTTTTTATCAAAGCTTGGGCCATATATTTTGAAGAAAGGAAAATGCTAAGACTTTCTGAAGAGGTATTCAATAAAAGCATCTTAGACGAGAGAGAAAATACAAAGTGGTTTAAAAAATATCCCAAGACAGCTCTGGAAACGATGCTACTAAAATAACTAAAACCAGTAAAAGCACAAGCAGTATACATCTCACACAACCACAACAAGAATCAAAGAAACACTGCCTCAGTGTTCTTTAAGTCAGAAGAGGAGCTTCTAGCAGCTCTTATGAAGAGAATATACTACTACAATACAAAGCTCAATTGGGGTGCAGTAGACAGTATAAAAGAGAATCTCAGAAATGCTACTACAAACAATAGAGAAAGTACAACAAATTGTCCAACTATTCCAAAAGAGAATAGTATAGGGGAGAGAAAAAAAAACCCATATATATCAAATAAGGCCAATGAAAATAGAACAAGTGACAACTTGATTCCACTTGGGCACTTATTAAACAAAGAAAACAAAAACAAGAAGAATATGAAGCCTAACTTTAGAAAAAATAAGGAGGGAGCAAATAAGAGGTGACAAATCCATGAGGACTCAGTCTACAGCATGCTGCTACAGATTTTGGGTAGACTCAACAAATTAGAAAACCAAAGCAGTCCATCTTAAACAACATCTGCAAGAGTAGTTCTTGTGGACTACTTCTAAAGGTGCCCCAAACGCAAAAATGAACCCCCCTAAGAGAAATAAAGAGAGTAAAAAAAAAGGTGAGGGTGAGTCCCAGGAGAAGAAGTTGGGCAGGGAACAGTAAGTAAAGAAAACAAATATGAGCAGTTCTGTATGATGAATATTGGGTTCTACAATATTAATGGTATTGTTATAGAATGAATTTATTATTAGTTTATTATTTTATTATTTATTATTTATTATTTAAGCGGACATATAAACCATCATTTGTTCAACCTGTTCTACCTGCTCTTTGAATTTCAATGGCATGGCTAGATTCTCTTGTTATGAATTTACCATTAACTTTTCCCATAGATAAACCCGAATCAATGACTAATTGACAACCTGTCCAGGTACGACCTGCATCCCAAACAGAAGTACCTATAATTATTTCAGTGTCATCTTTAATTTCATCATTTTTAGCATCCACAACCCGAATTTTTCTGGATAAAAAACTAGCTATGGTGTTATGTACTTTAATACATTGACTTAAGGATGGTATAATTATCAATGTTTTAAGTTTGGGATATTCGTTTAGATAATGGAAAATAGCACTCTCTAAATGTATATTTGGAGGGGGCGGTAACTTAGTGATTGAGTAAGGAGAACGTGATTTCGATAATGTAATTGTTGTTGAATTTGGGATAGGGATTGGAGTTGCACTAAGTAAAATAACATTGCCTTTGTATCTCTCTAATAATATCAAACTATCTTCATCCATTTCATGAAACTCATCTATAATTATTAAAAAATCTTTATCCTTAAACGAGTGATTAGTAACTTGTAACCAACCATGTGTACATACATTTAAATTATTTTCATCCATAATATTGCGAGTACCAGCAAACAATTTTGGAGCAGAACTTGCATGATTTTTAACTAATAATACACGAGGCATAGATAACATAGTGCAATTAAAGTGTGCTGATATATTTTGTACAAAATCAGTGCTTTTTCTGGCCCCTGTCTTAGCTGTAACTACAGGAATTTTCCCTTTCTTGAGCTCTTCTAACACTTTCTCTACTGAATCTAAATGATCTAAGGGCGCCCATGTACCAGAAAAACTTTTATTGTCAAAGAATGGTTTTATTTTATAAATAGCATTAAAATCAAAATCTGCCATTATTGGCCAACATAAATTGATTAATTGTACAAATTTAGTCATTATGGGCTTTAAGAAGGGTAGAATTGGATAATCAGGCATATTAAACCCTCCAAATAATTTATCATAAATTAAGTACATGATAGCCTTCTTATTTGCAGCTAGGTCTCTTGGAACTAGTGCACTTAACTCTAAACTAGATCTACCAAACATGGTCCAGTATAGAAAATTAAGATCTGCGAAACCTGTGAAACCAAAATTTGTGTATAGCTTACTTAATTTTATAAATGTTCTAATAATTGGGAATTTTAATAATAAGTTTTCTAAATAGTTAACTACTAGAGATGCTATTAAAATCCCTAGCATATGATTTGATAATTTTATTAAGCTACTCATATCCCAATCAAAATTATGGCGAATCTGAAAGAATTTTTGGGGACTACAAATTGATGCAAAAGGTGATTCTTTAACCATGATCAAATATTCGCCAAGACTTTCTGGACAATTTGCATTAACATATATCCACCATTCTATTAAGAAATTCTCCGAGATAGGATGATTATACGGATCGAAATATAGTGTGTCTACTGATGCTCTAGGTAAAGATAAATCGAGTACTTTTAACATATTTTTATAATTCTGAAACACAAATTCACATTTAAAATCAACTTCGTGGACAAAGGCACGTGCATTACGAATGAATTGTTCAAATGAAGACATATCTAAAGTTACCAATTCATTATATCTATATTCATATTGCAGGTGCATTACTTCTTCATATGATTTTATAGGACATCGCTTTCTTATTGCTTTCATGTGACTATAATAAGCCTCTATTAATTCATTATAATATTTGACACAAATCTCGTGAATATCCGGATAATGGGCACAATTATTGGCTAAACCAATAATACGTTCAAGTAAATATGTTTTATTTTTCTTTGGATTTTTTTTTATATCGTCAAATTTCATTAATAATTTATCTCGGTTATGTTTATAAGTTACTTTACAAGTATAATCAGACACGTATTTAAGGACTTCTTCTAATTGCTTTTTGCTATCTGAATATATTTTACTTAAAAATTCCACTCCTTCTAAACCTTCTGATTTATTCTCTAACCTTAAACTAACTCCTTTTTAGCAAAATAATTACATAATGTGTCTTCATTCCATTTATCGTTAAAACAGTTACTACTCAAAACATTATCATCTCCATAAGCTGTAATCTTGTTATACTTAAAGAAATCTTCTGCTAGCATTCCGGTTAATTCTTTCCAAGCTTCAACAAAAAGAGTTAAACAATATATTGTGTTATCAGGACTAACAGTACTTTAATCAGTGGAATGTCCTTTATGTTTCATTTTCACTTCTCCATCATATAGTGTCCATAAATAGCTATTATATAAATTATCATAATATATTTTCATCATCAATTCTACTCTATCTCGTTGTGGATGGTTTGCATAACCTAACATACGAATTTTCATTAACATTCACATGTAATTATAACTCATGGTCGAGTCCATAAATGTAATGTCCATTTGCAAATGAACCTTATAAGACCTATATTGTTCAAAGATAAGTGGAGGTATAGCATGTGCGCTAGACATTCCAATTGCACACCCATTCATAGGATCAAAATTTTTATTTTGACATCCATTCACCAACATACCATTAAAGTAAGTTAGAGGATCCATGGCAATTATACTTCTAATTTTCTCCTCTATTTCTACTTTTGATAATTTTAGGACTTCATCTTTTAAAAATACATGACTAACGCTAGGAATAGCTATATCACCTTCTAAATATTGACGTATCTTCTTTAGGAACACTTGACGACCACCCATCCGGTATATAACCTTTCGACGTGACATATTATCATTACCATCTAAAAACCTATATGGAAAACCCCAACTATATGCTATGTGCCATTTTTTTAATACTTCTTCAGGACTCATTAATGTACTATTTTCTAATATAGGCCTCAATTGATTATATACAGCTTTAGTTATTTCGTCCTCTTTATCCTCATCCAACTTAGTCTGTTTTGTATCTACAAAGTATCTATCATTACTTTTTTTTACCATATTTAGTGTACCTAACCGTCGTGTGAAAATACCCTCAGGGTGCGGATATTTTTCTTTTAACTCATTTATCATTCTTGCAGTTATTGTATCAATTTCAATATCAAATTTTCTCAAGGGCACTGTTATTCCAATTGTGTATAATTCATTCTTAATGTTATGTATATTTAAATCAATAGAGATTTCAAAGAGTTTAATATAATAATCTTGTATAGATTGAAGATCTAAAATAACAGTTTTTTTGTCCGGTATTTTGAGGTTGTGATCTATATCCCTATAGATCTTTTTACCAACAAACGAAACATGTCTATGTTTGACAAGATTGATTAAAGGAAACCAAACTGTCTTTCTATTGTCTCTATATTTATTGTATATTTTTTTTGTGTCTTCTACAAAGCTAAAATCTGTAAAATAATCAAAAAATGCGGATTCTGATTTGTCTATGGAAACAAAGTTAGGGACTTTAAACTGGACTTTAGGATATATTTGTTCTATACTATCCCACATATCTTCTATCTGAGCACTAGCACTACCCATAGTTTTATATTCAGGTCTAAAATAGTAATCTATATATCCCTTCAATGTTCTTTCTTCTGGCGGTATTAATAAATTATAACCAGGGATGTATTTATAATCAATTATTTTCTTAGTTAAATGATAAACAACATATTGAACAAAGCAAATACAGTTCACACCCAACAATTTATATGGCATATCCTCAAAAAATTCTCGTAACTGTTTAAAATTAAATCCATTCACTATTTGATCCTGTTTTATGTGTACACCACAAGTATAATCTTTTAACGGCAATGTATGATGCTCTAACAACCGAACCTTATTAGATCTAAGTAAAAGTTCATAAAACCTTTCACCGTACTGGATAATGGCATGTGAGAATCTAATATATTTTCTAACATATTTCATAAATTCACTCCCGAGGGGCCTGAAATATACATATAAACCACTTGTTTGGTGTACAACAGTTTCTGTGTAGACATTCTATGAAATTGGTGTCAACTCAACTTCGGGCAATCTTTTATAATCCTGATTGCATTGTGCAGGTATAGATCGAAGAACATCAGTCAACTTTTTGCACATATTTGGGTGTTTTAATCTTTTAATAGCAATAAAATCATACAGAAACTGGAATTTATTCCTAAAGAATCCTAAATATTGTTTACAAGAATAAAGAGAAGAGGGATGTCTGTTGCTTGTTTTAACTTGGGGAAATTGGTGGGGTTTATATATCTGTGAGCTAAGCGACTAAGCGACTGAGCGACTAAGCAACTAAGCGACTAAGCGACTATATAGTTAAGCGACTAAGCGACTAAGCGACTGAGCGACTAAGCGACTAAGCGATTAAGCGACTAAGCGACATGTTAATAATAATACAAGATAATAATATTCTAAGATAATTAATAAATAATAAATAATAATAAAATAATAAACTAATAATAAATTCGTTCTATAACAATATTTAAAAACAAACTCTTTTTTGTAAATTCTCGTACTAATTTCTGAGCTAAAGAAAACATACAAAACAACAACAAGGCTACTAGCTAACAAGGTTTCAAGGTTTAAGTAAAAAGAAGCAGTATAAAATTTTATCTAGAGGTATCTAAAAACATATCTGGTCCAACTCTTTAAATAAAGCTACAAAAACAGAAAAAACAATATTTTACTAAAAATTTTAAAAAAATAGTATATTTGAAAATCAGCTTTGACTCTGTAGTATAAATCATTGTAACAACAAATAGACATATAACACGTCAAGCTACCAAACAAGTAAACAACATGACCAATTAACAACCAGCATTATACAAACAACAATCTTTACATATATCAATATAACACCAATTATCATGTATAAAAATAGAAAGTTTTACTAGAGATGGTATCAGCTTGAGCCGGCTTATGTGATATGTAACAGATTCGAATTTGTCATATGATAAAATAGAGTTAATGTAATAAAATTGAATTTATCATATGACAAATTCGAATTAATATAACAAAATCGAATTTATTATATAATAAATTCGATTTTATCACATTAGCTCCGAGCCAGCTCGGCTCAAAAGCCATGGCTAAGCCAGCTTATTATAAGCTGATGCCATCTCTAAGTTTTACCAAATTCAAGGATCTGTTTAGAAAAGATATGCAGAACAATGAAATTTTATTCTAAGAATTTAAACAAGCTATTTTAATAAAAAATCAAAAAATTACAACATGGCTTGGAGTAAATGCAGTTGAATTAATAAGCCTTATTAAAAAAACAATTAAAATGTTTGATTAGCTTAAATACAAAAAAGCAACAAAAAAGGTTCTATCAATAGAAAAACTCAACTTATATAAACAACTATCATGTTTGCAAGTTAACAAAAACAAAGAACCAATCTATATAAAATTAGACACCAAGGAAATGTTACTTCTTACAGAATATAGAACTATGGACTTTGGCATTAAGAAAATATTAGATTTAATCAATCCAAATATAAAGTCAGAGATAAACACTAGTGCAAAACCCCAAGACACTATAGAGGAGTTTAAAACAGAAACTCAAGCTAAAAAGAAGTCTGGCTTTAGTTCAAAGCTGGTTATAAATATAGCAGAAGATGGCTCTAAGGAGGCTACACTAAAAAGAATACAACAAGAAGCTTCTATAGATAAGAGTAATAGAAGAAAAACAACAAGCAACCTGTATCAGTCTATAGTTGCTATTTTTTAAACAAAAGAAAAGCCATATAAAAATACAATATATATAACTCTTTGGGATATATCTAATTAAACCAAAGCAAACCAAATCAGAAAGTGTTTGAGTTTCTATAGAAGAGCAATAGTTAAACACTTTATATTAAATAAAAAAACAAAGACAGTACAAGTAGAACTAGATTTTAAAAACTTATAATAAAAAAATAAGTTACAAAATTCCTAAGTAGTATATTTTGAAAATAGTAAAAGCTAAGAGTTACTTTTGGTTTTTTGGATAAAAAGACACTTATAGAAAAAAGTAAATTTAAGTCAATTATAAAGAATCTTTTCAAAACCACAATTAAAACTTTACTACTAAGATAGTTAAGAAATATAAAAGCAAAGGCAGTATACATATTGACAAATAGCAATGGCAACCAAAAAGATATAGCTTTAGTATTGTTATAGAACGAATTTATTATTAGTTTATTATTTTATTATTTATTATTTATTAATTATCTTAGAATATTATTA